CAACAACAACAACATCAACCACTTCATCATCAACATCATCGACATCGTCAACAACATCAACCACTTCATCATCAACATCGTCAACAACATCAACCACTTCATCATCAACGTCGTTCACATCATCATCTACGTCATCAACAACAACACCAGCAACAACAACACACGCAGTAACAATACCAGCAGCAACAACACACGTAGCAACAACACACGTAGCATTAACACTAGCAGCAATAACACCACCAAGAATAACACCACCACCAATACCACCAGAAGATACAACACCAGAAGATACAACACTAGAAGACACAACACTAGAAGAAACGACATCAGAAGAAACAACAATAGCCGGTCAGTAAAATGCTTGATAATATGTTGCACTTTTTTTGTAGCTTTAAACCTATGAATAATTTCACTAAGCAAAAACGTTTCAGATTTATCGTTCAAATGTTTATCATTTCGATTAGCAAATAATACTCACATGGAGATTAGCTCAGTTGTTTTTCGTAGGAGTGTTATATTTAGACATAGCGAATTATAGTCATTGTGTTGTTGGTACAGATTTCTGCTGCGAGAACCGATATTAAGAAAAATTGACGTTAATTCGGATTTATCGTTGATGATTTCATTAGTTCAAGTTTTAGAAAAGACTTTCAATAGTAACATAGCACTAGAATATAGTAGCATAACGAGGATTTCGTCAGCAAGAACCAAGCCTCGTTGTTGTTGTAGCCTTTCCTTTGATTACTTCTCGCCGGCTCGTATTTAGTCTTGCCCACATGCGTCCTTCATTTTTTTCTCTTGGAATGATTTTCGATCAATCAGCAAGGGGTTGCACGGAGTCTATTAGATGCTGTGCTAATAAACCAGGCTAAGCACTAGATGTTCTATTGATTGTGATGTGTATTATTCCATATTAACTCTACTAGCTGGCGTATCTGTCAAATTGAGTTGTTGCTTGAAGAGTAATCGAATTTGAAAAGCACGTCCATTTGTAGAATAAGTATTGGGGAACACAACTTATAATAATTAAAATATGTAATGATTAGCTTAGTTTAATAGTACAACATCTAGTACAGTCTAATCTAATTCTGCTTTGTACTGCCTGAATACCTATGCCAAACGCTGGAAAACAGACCCACAATAACGCAAACAGATAATTTATTTTTGTTGAGCTGTTCTCGACGAGAACGAGAATAGGGTGTGGGTGCACAGGTAACTGTAAATTCTGCTTGGTAGGTATTATGCAGTCCCTTAGTTGAGGATATCATGAAGCTTGAAATGTATCGAGAAAACATTATAAACGGCACTATTACATAAAAGAAGGAATGAAGAATAATAGAAATTCATCAAAGGGAGCGCAAGTTTTAAGTAGAGTGCGATGACTTTGTTGATTTTTCAAATTTACGAGAAGATTTCACATAAAGATAGGCAGAATGGCTGAAAACTAACTTTAATTATGCTCTAGAATATCTGAAATTGCCTAAAAATGCCGTGACATGATCTTTTCGAATAAATAATGTTAAATTAAGTTAAACTCTTGAAGATTAAATAAAATACGACGATTGAATACTGTCTATATGTCAGTTCAGATGTGAGAGCAAAATTTTTGTATTTAATAGGCTGCGATAATATGTTTCTTGATCGAACTACTTATTCAGTTGATATGCTGCCATATTCAGTAGCAGTCGTCGATGTGAATAGCGACAATAAATCCGATATTATTGTTGCAAACTAT